AGCATGATACGTACTTGGAAGGCAGTTTTCCCACTTGCCGTCCTTGTCAAAGTTTGACGTTGTAGCACACCAAGGCATCCACACCCAATCTATGATGCATTTGTAATGTTTCTTTCCTTTGAACGTGAAAGGAAACACGCAGCATTTGTCATTCTTGGCTTTCCACGGACAAGCTGCAAAACACGAAATACAGTGTACTCTCCTTAATAATATCACGACAAAAAAGACAGGACAAGGAAATTCTTTTGCTTGGCTATCGTTGCGTCATCATCAGAGGGCGAAAGTACGAATGCCGAGGAGGTAGTAGTAGTAGCAGTAGTAGCAGCAGCAGCACCAGCAGCAGCAGCAGTAGCAGTAGTAGCAGTAGTAGTAGTAAACTTTATTTAAGTGTCAGTCGTTCTAGCGCCGTTTTAGGTTCTAGGTGGGAAGTACAGGAAGGTTTCAAGCACCTGAGCAAACATGTTGTCTAAAAGAGGGAGTTAAATGAGTTTAGTCCTTACCGATAGCAGTTCCGTACACCTCAACTCTCATACAGGGTTTGTAATTCCATTCCACCGGAAGGAACCGAATGAAATGTGCTGTGATTGGTCGGTTTAAATCATTTTTCACCATGTCATTTGCGTTAGTGTTAGCTGTGAATTCCTGCAAGAAAAACAACCATGTACATTATTGCACGAGGTGTATCATATAAAAGGGTTGGTGGTGAAACATATAAGACTTTTCACTCGCAAAGGACTTGCCATACAGTGTAAAAGGATTGGCTGTTATATGTTAAGCTTGATAGAACTATGTTCAAGATGTTGATAAGTCCTAACACAAGCTACTCGGAAAACACTCTGCTTTCTAGACGGACAATAGCAAGGATTTCATTTGCTATATGTAATATAGGTATAATTTTATTATGAGACACGCCCGAGCGTGCATATGAAGTCCTCCTGGTTTTCTTGGCCCATTAAATCACCGCAGTASCGTAACTACAGTAACTATATGAAGGCCACCAGTCGGTTCCATAAATCGTCACTAATGTCCTCTTCACTGTTTTGGTTCTATGTGCCTGTTGTGTTTGTCTGCCTTGCAACCTATCTAGGAGCAATTTTCTCAGCGCGACCTGGTGCTTCAACCCCCCACCTCCATATTCTGAATCCACCCTACATGAAGCTACACCATACCTTCACAGGTCCATTTTCAGTATACAGCGTGAAGTTCTCGCCGTCCAAGGAGTACTGAATCCGATATTTCTTCACCCAGTCGGTCTTGTGGAGAGGGGAGCCCTGAGTAGCGACGGCACAGACGTTGTATCTAGCCGGAAACTCCACTTGAAGAAAATACTCCTTATCCGCTTCCCCTAGAGTGTTGGGACACCAAACGCCGTCATCATTGTTAAGGCGACCCGCCTCAGGTCGGAAGGCGTGGAAAGGTTCTTGCCATGACGACGCAACAATGTTGCCATCCAGGATCTTTCCGTTCTCCATACCGATTGGATAACCGCGGCACGCGAGGTCTAGATTAAAGAGAATAAAGAACAAGATTATAATTATGCCATCCCGTGTCAGGGTTATTTGCCTGGAGTGAGAAGATATGTGCGCATCTCGAAGTAGAAAAATGTACTTTTAATCACCTATCTACGTACGGAATAATTGGTGGGGTTTCGTAGAACACACACAAAACACGACAGAAGGGGCTGAAACTGTGGTATAAGGTGGGATAAGATGGGACGTTCTCAATGAGAAAGAATCGAGAATTAATCAATCACAATAGGATAAAATGTAATATGTGAAATATATGCAACGACTGTGACTGAAAACTGATCGAGTAGAACAAGAGAGAAACTCCGTCAACTGTTTGGGCCTTCCATGGTTAGCTGCTATTAATTTAGCAGGTAACGATTAATCACCTAAATTAAACCGCTAGTTTTAGCCTTTTTATGGGTTTGGACGCATTTGGTAGGTTTTTCCGAAAAGTCTGAATATACCCTGTCCAAATGAAAAGAAATAAAATGCCAAAACCCTTTTAGTTTAAATTTAAGAAAAAAAATTAAGAAAATTACAAATTTTCTAGCATATTCTTGATGCGTATTGTCCTTTATCACTTTCCAGATGCGTGCAACGCGCATTGTACGCTATGTTACGGTAGCTTACATTCTCCTAAAGCAGAATCATTGACGATTTTGAGGAGTCTGACCAATGTTCACGGAAATTCACAATTTTTCCCATTATTAGCACGTTATTCACATATCTCCGCATGTCGTACTGATGCATCTAGCCTTACATAAAGCCGTTATTTTTATATAACTCTTGGCAAAGCGAAACATTTCTATCAGTGCAAACTCACGACCCCTTGTTATGGAAATGGAAAGGTTATGGCAAGGATGAAAAGCGAATTCGAAGGACGACAACTTTCTCCTTCCCCTTCTCCCTTCCCATCGACCCCTGCTTTATCACTTTCCCCCAGTCGACTCGCGCTCCCGTCGGAGACTCAGAGACGGTTTGGGACGAGCCAGTTTTCAACCTGTCTAATTTTATTGCCGAACACCAAAAAATAGTATATATGTCAGGTCATGGTTTTTTGCCTGTCTTATTTTCGTGAAATCCCAGTTAAACGCACTTAATAAAATATAGAGAAAGTTAAAGTGTGGTTTGGGGTAAAAAGATCCCATACCTTTGCAGTGATGTTTTGAGGTATTACAGCGGTACGTGTTCCAATATTCGTACTGTGGACAAAATACAAATACGTAACAGATAAAATATTCCTGCCATTATACTAAGTTTTATTCTGTGTTAGAGTTGACACTTTCCTTTTAAACCTGGCTACGCCTCACACAGTTCCGCCAAGCATTAATTTGTTTCATTATGTCAGCTGTTCTACATTCAAGTTACTTTGATGAAATAAACACAACCTGAGGCAATAACAATGTTATTACTTAATAATTGTATTCAAAATGCATGTGTTCATTATATTAATTAAGCGTCGCAAGCAGAACGTAAAAATACAGTTCTATTATTGAAAAACTAATCCTGCAAATAACATATTTTGAAAATTAAGGGAATTATACCATTGAACTTGTGGTACTGTTAATAATAGATCAGTGCTAAACGGGTATGCAATTTGAGTAATAAACACTCTAGCGCGCCGTTCTTATTCATATAGTAATGTGTACCAACCGTTTGTTCCGAATGATCAAATTTTTCCACCACTTCCTCAAAATCGCACGATTCCTCTCCGTAACACTCCTCGTCTATGTTATTGTCACCGATAAAGCGTTTGTGAAAAGATAAAGCCTCGTTCTTGCTCAGGACAACATCTTGGGCGCCGCGAGAGTGACCTGCACTTCCACAGAACGAAGCAGTAAAATAATGTTCTTTAGCGACACCCATAACTTAAAAATAGCAGCGATCAAGTGAACTTACTTGAGGAAATCTGGAAGATTGTTATCAGCAGTGAGACAACCCAAATGGAGAACATTTTTTGATGTGCCGTGTTGTGAAAGGTTTTCAGACTCTACAGAGCAGAGGTTTAGCGTTTGGGTGGCGTTTATTCTAGTCGGTTGTTAGGTCAACTGTCGAAACGTTTCACGATCAATTGTGGAACTTTAAATAAAACGTCAATCAGATGTATTCAGGCTGCATACAAACACAGCTAGTGTAATAATTGGATCGGTTTTTCTTGCCAGCGTTCGATATTTATTACATGGCGCCAAAAATTCTTGAGAAAGAGGACAAAAAAAAAAAGAACTCAGTTAGACAATAGAAAGGTGGAGTTCTTTACTTTTTTGTTATTCAACCAAAAAATAAAAATCTGATTATAGTTATACTTACTTCTTATTAAAAGCAAGTTTTTACATCCCGTCTTGTGATCTCTACATAGTGTTTTGCAACAAAAAGTGACGTTTGGGTAAATTGTGCAAAAATTAATCGTAAACTAATACTAACATTGTGTACCCTGACTAATGTGACTGATTGTTTCTCTGGCAAATTGAGGGACGACAAAACATTATGCATGATTAATGAAAGAAATTTGAGAATAAAAGCCCATACTAACAGACCAACTAAACCAAGAGGGCGAACTGATGGTTTGTCAAATGGCTGGAGGCGAGAAAATCGTTTCCCGTAACAACCACTAAAGATATGACCTAAGACAGAGCGTCGAGTTATGGCGAGTGGCTCAAAAGAGAAAACTCTCTTCTCTCCTGACCATATTAAAACATGACTTGATAGCCTTCTAGTATGTATATCATTGTTGAATTCATTTTTCTAAGGCCCTCTCCACACTACGCCGGAAAAATTTGAAAACGCATGCAGCTTTATTTCTACGGTTAGGCCTACCATCCACACTAATACACTTCTAACTTGTAACCGCCCCCTCAGTGCTAGCTCAGTGCAACGGTGGAGAATAACAACTTTTTAGTTGTTTACGTCTCGGCAGCGAAAATCGAAACAAAGCTAGCTTATACGTACCATACTTCGTCCAATTGTTGTTTGGCTCAATGCTGTTGGTTCAGTCCTGTTTGGCTCGTTAATGTAAGGTTTGAGAGGAGTGGAGGAACAATAGAGAATCGTTTATCATTCAGAAAAGGTTTCGTCACACAGAAGAACATGACACAATCATTCAGCACTAGAATACGAACGTGTTTATTTGATGATTTCCTGCATGTAAAAACTACATATGCTAACCTCCTATTTAAAGACTCTAATGACATAGATAGGTGCAAAACGAGAACTAGAAAGTGGTTTTCCTTGCTTGAGCTGTAAGTGCTAAGAAGTCAATTTTGTGCTGGTGTGAACTGTGGACGCTCTTTCCTTGTCTCTTACTTCTTGGCTTCTAAGTCTTCCTCTGTTGATAGAAAGTAATTTTAGTCTATTACGGTAGAATTCTCCTTAAAATGGTCAGTTCCGTACAATGACCGTTCTCTCTATTCCCAAAGTGGTCGTTGTAGAAATGTTCGGCTTAAATTCATAACTAGCAGAAGGATTGTGTTACTAAGAGGTATTTCACCCAAAAGCACCATTTTTAGGAAACAATATAAATCACGCAGTCAATTTCAAGATGGAAGTTCTTAGGTCGGTCGAGAATGTAGAGACAAGACTGGCGAGTATAACAGAGGTAGGCAGTGAGTGTTTGCTTTTTTGTCAGTAGTGGTGAGACGAAATAACCCGAGCGACAGAAGCTGTGCGAAGAAAGTTAACGAGAACAGACGTAAATTTTAATTTCGTCGCGCCGATTTCACTGCTCGTTTCACTTCGTCTCGTCCCGATCAAACTTGTGCCGTAGAATGGAAGCAAATACATTGACTGAAATAGAACAAACCTAAGCACTCTCCCCATTCTTCATCCTCATCATAGTTATATGTTGTCGCACACCACTTCTCTCCAAAGAAAGTCGAAGCACAGGTAAAGTGTCTTTCTCCTTCGTACAAGAATGGAA